CCTGCTGAGGACCTTTATTTGGAGCAAAGGTCTGAGCCCCCATCTCACAACCACCCCATTGCCCTTCAGATGCAGGGTGGGATCACCCCCAACAACCACCCCCAAACCCCCCAGGTGCTCAGCAGACCACACTTACATCAACGATGAGGAAATCCAGCCAGCACCAGGCATTGGTGAAGTAGACCTTGAAGCCATAAGCCACCCACTTGAGCAACATCTCAATGACAAAGATGTAGGAGAAGACCTTGTCAGCGTATTCCAGGATGGTGCGGATCACCTTCCTCTGCTCAATGTAGATGTCCTCAAAAGCCTGGAAGAGGTGTGGAGCTACGTGACAGTCATCCTTCCAGCAGACCCCCTGCCTGGCTCAGGACACCCAGCCCTGCACTGTCCCTGCTCCCCTTGAAAGCCTGACACCCTAACCATGGGTGGCACCTCCTGCAGCACCTGCCCAGCATGGGGGGCTGAATCTTTGTTTCCAAGTTCATGTTGGCTCTGGAGACCCATGTTGGTCCTGGAGCAAAAACTTCACTGAAGCAAATCATAGAATGATGGAGTTGTTGGGGTTGGAAAAGACCTTGAAGATCATCAAGTCCAACCATGAACCCAGAACTGCCAAGGTCACCACTGCCCCATGTCCCTCAGCACCACATCCATGTGTCTGAAATCCCCTCAAGGATGGGGACTCCACCACTGGGCAGCAGGAGCAGGGCAGGGATTGTCCCCTGTGCTGGCACTGGTGGGGCCAGACCTGGAATCCTGGGGTCAGTTCTGGGCCCCTGGGGACAAGAAGGACACGGAGGGGCTGGAGCGTGTCCAGGGAAGGGCAAGGGAGCTGGGGAAGGGGCTGGAGCACAAGTGTGAGCAGGAGCAGCTGAGGGAGCTGGGGGTGTCCAGCCTGGAGCCAAGGAGCTGAGGGGAGACCTGCTGGCTCTGCAGCTGCCTGAGAGGAGGTTGGAGCCAGGGGGGGTCGGGCTCTGCTCCCCAGGAACAAGGGGCAGGAGCAGCGGAACCGGCCTCAAGTTGTGCCAGGGGAGGCTGAGGTTGGACCTTGGGAACAGTTTCTCCCTGGCAAGGGTTGTCAGGGCCTGGCCCAGGCTGCCCAGGGCAGGGGGGGAGTCCCCATCCCTGGAGGGGTTTCCAAGCCCTGGAGATGGTGCTGAGGGACACGGGGCAGGGGTGGCCTGGGCAGGGCTGGGGAAGAGTTGGGCTGGGGCATCTTGAAGGTCTTTCCCAACCCAAAGGAGTCTATTGGGTGGTTCTTTGATTTGCAGAGCAGACACCACCAGGTGATGCCCAGACCTCCTGCCTGGGCTCTGCCCACCTCCCTGGGCACCCACCGAGCTGGGGAAGCTGCTAGAGAGCAAACAGGACAGGGTGAAAGGTGGGACCTACCAGTGCCCCACTGCTGAGGAGGATCATGAAGACGATGAAGGTCTCAAACCAGTCGTGCTCCACGATGCGGAAGCAGGTTTTCCTGATGTTCCACCAGATCCTCCCTTTCTCTGTGGTGATGTCCACGTAGAGGCAGGGAAACCTCTTCACACAGGCTGGGGAACAGGACAGAGAGCTGGGAGTTACCTCCTGGCCAGGACCTTTCCACCCCCACGACACTCTCTGGGCTTTTCTTGTCTTCTGAAACCCTCCTGGCTGGGTCCTGCTGGGCTTGGGGATGCCCATGGAAGAGGGGATCCCCATGGGGATCATCTCCATGGTGGCAATGGGAAGATCTGAGAGTCTGGGCTGAGGTCAGTGAGCCTGGGGGTGGCTGTGCTGGAAGGACTGGTTGGCAGTGTCCCCTCCATAGCCCAGTCCCTGGGGTCCCCCTGGTCCCTCACCCTCGGTGAAACACTCCTCAGGCTCGTTGCTCTCCTCAGCTTCTTCTGCCACCTCCTCCTCCTCAGGCTGGGGGGGTTTGTAGTCCACTGTGCTGCACAGGGACGAGGCGTTGTCACTGGAGAGGGGCTGCTGCAGAGGGAGGGAGCTTCAATTAGTTTGATATTCATTAGAGAGTTTGGATTATATCTCAGAGAGATATTTTGTACCACGAGGGTGGTGAAACCCTGGCCCAGGTTGCCCAAAGAGGTGGTTGATGCCCCAGCCCTGGAAACATCCAAGGTGAGGTTGGATGGGGCTCTGAGCAACCTGGTCTGGTTGAAGATGTCCCTGCTCACTGCAGGGGTTTGGACTGGGTGGGCTTTGAAGGTCCCTTCCAACCCAAACCATCCCTGGCTTGTTCAGGCTGGGTTATCCTGCAGAAGGGATGAGCTGGGGCTGGTGATGCCTCCAGCTCTTGTCCCCACTGAGGGACCCAGCTGCTGGGACCTTCTTGCTTGAAGGCTGCTCTGAGCCCCTTTCCCACTAAAATGCAGCCCAGGGAGAAACTGTTGAGTTACCTAGAGCTGCAAACCCTGGAGGATCATTGGTTGCACGAGCTTTGCATCCAGGCTCAGAGGAGCAGAAGGTCCCCTGACCCCAACCTTCCTCCCACCACAGTAGGTCCCTCTCCCATCCCCTTGTACCATCACCTCAGGCTGATTTTACAACCCCAGCCTGGTTTGGGTGGGAAGGGACCTTCAAGATCATCCAGTCCTGCCTGGGCAGGGACACCTCCCAGCAGCCCAGGCTGCTCCAAGCCCCATCCAACCTGCCCTTCAACACTGCCAGGGATGGGGCAGCCACAGCTTCCCTGGGCAACCTGGGCCAGGTTCATTCTCTCACCTCCTCCACCTCTTCATGCCACCACCCAAGGACCCCTCTGCCAAACACCCTTCAGTCCTGCAGAAACCCAGGAGGCCACCCTGGCACTTCTCCCAGATCCTGCTGCCCCAGCTCATGCCAAAGGGCTCCTAGGCTGAGGTCCACCCCAGCTTCATGCTTGCATCCCAAATCCCTCTCTCTGGCTCCATCCCACAGGAAGGCCCAGCTTGGCTGGTTCCCAGACACCCTCAGCAGGTCTCAGGGGTGCTGGGAATGAGAGAAAACCTTGGCAAGGCCCTGGGATTTTTTTTCCTCCTTTATGATGATGAGTTGTTTTGGTTTTCTGAGCCCTGCAGCACTTGGGAAAGGAGAAGATCCCCAGATCTACCTGCCTGTCCAACCTGGGAGCAGGTGCTGGTGCCTGGGAACCCCCAGTGCAGGGGGGGGTTGGTTTGCATGGGAAGGAGATCAGGACCCCCAAGGTGCTTTTGGGAGGGAATGAAGGAGCTGCTCCCACCTCAACAAGCCAGAGAAGATCCCCTGGGGGAATTTGAGGTCTTGCTGGAGCTTCTGGGGCCACAAGCACCCCAGGAGGCTTTGGGGACCCATCTGCTGCGTGCTGGGGACACGCAGGATGTGGCCTTTGAGGAGCAGGACACAAGGGCAGTGGTGGCACAAGGTGCTGGTTGGTGGCTCTGCAGGAGCAGTGGGGCCACCCTTGGCCAGGACTGGGGGGACACAGGGGGATGAGGAGGCCTTGGTGTGGAGCCAGCCAAGCTGTGACCCCGGGAAGGACACGGGAACCTTCTGCCTCCAGAACAAGTCTGGAAAGGCAGGAGGTGGGGAGGGATCAGCCCAGCAGGCTGGGAAAGGTGGGACAGGGAGAAGAACTGTGCTAGTCCCACCACGTGGCCCCCAAACCCCATCCTGGATGATCCTGAAACCCCTCCCAGCACCTGTGAGCAGGTTTGTAGAGCAGTGTCCATCCCACCTGGGCAAGCACCTCCAGCCTGGACTGGGTGTTCCCACCCAAACCCGGGGCTCTCCCCACCCTTGCCAGCACCCAGACTCGTCTTGTAACCCCCCCTTAGTGACACCCTGGTGACATACACAGCCCAGGGTATCTCAGGGGACCTGGCAGGGTTGGGGGCTGAGGAGAAGCTCCCCGAGAAGAGCCCTGAGCACCAGCTCTGCCCCTGCCAGCACCCCAGCCCTGCTGCCCCACCAGGAACCCACTGCAGACACAGAGGATCTCGGGGAGAGGAGCCACCCTGTGATGTCTTATCACCCTGAGAAGTCCCTTGGCCCCGGAGAGAAGCTGAGGACCATTTCTGGGTGTTTCCCGAGCAGCCAAACTGGAGAAAAACCTCCAGTTTGCAACTCCCAGCAGCTGGTGTCCCTGGCCAGGAGGTGTCCTGGGCTTTGGCTCCACCTGGAGCTGATCACCAGCATGTGAACAGTGGAGACACGGAGTGGTGGGGTGGGAAGGGACCCCTGGAGATCACCCATCCAAGCCCTGCCAGAGCAGGATCCCCCAGAGCAGATCCCACAGGAACACGTCCAGGAGGGCTGGGAATGTCTCCAGGGATGGAGACTCCCCCACCTCCCTGGGCAGCCTGTCCCAGGGCTCTGCCACCCTCCCAGGAAGGAGGTTTTTCCCTCCATGAGCAGCTCTTGAAGCAGGAATCTCCCCTGAGGACCAACTCAGATGCTCATTAGCACTTGATTTCTAATTAATAGATGATTTCCTGGGATGATTTCAGGGACCAGCCCGTTGTTCACTGCTAGGTTGTTAACACCCCCCCTGCTTTGCACCTTGGGCAACATTGACCCACCAAAACCATCAGTGATAATGGGGTGAACTGGTTTTTAGTGGCTGGGAGATGATTTTTACTCCCTACACACGCTGAGCAGCCAGAGAGGGCTGGAGCAGCTCTGGGACAGGCTGGGAGAGTTGGGGGGGTCAGCCTGGAGAAGAGAAGGCTCCAGGGAGACCTTAGAGCAGCTTCCAGTGCCTGAAGGGGCTCCAGGAAAGCTGGGGAGGGACTTGGGACAAGGGCAGGGAGGGATGGGATGAGGGGGATGGATGAAAACTGGAAGAGGGAGATTGAGGTGAGACATGAGGAGGAAATTCTTTGGTGTGAGGGCGGTGAGAGCCTGGCCCAGGTTGCCCAGGGAAGCTGTGGCTGCCCCCTCCCTGGCAGTGTTGAAGGGCAGGTTGGATGGGGCTTGGAGCAGCCTGGGCTGCTGGGAGGTGTCCCTGCCCATGCAGGGGGTGGATCTAGATCATCTTGAAGGTCCCTTCCAGCCCAAACCAGTCCAGGATTCTGTGATCCCATTGACCCGGGTGCTCCAGGCACGTTTGTCCCTCCTGAGCCCAGTTCAGCAGCAGGTCTGCAGTGGGTCCCATCAAGCCACCACCACCCCTGCCACCTCCTTCCTGAAGCCCTGACTGCTGAAAACACCTTCTTTTCCCAACAAAAACAAGCAATAAACAACAACAACAACACTATTAATTAAAAAACCACCAGGAGAGCAGGATTGTCCCCTGTTTTTGCAGCACACCCCAAGCCAAACCAGGTCCATCACCTCAGATGGAGCAGCCATTTCCCACCAGCCCCTCACCCTCCTTTGTGTGTCCACTTGGGTCTTCCCAAGTTTCTTGTCTCACATCTCCCCCTCACCCTCTTCAGGGCACTGAGTTGATCAGTGTCCCAGGAGCCCTCCAAGGGCTTCAACACCAGAGCATCAGGTGTCTCCTCCACTCTGGGTCCCAAATGCTCTGTGTTGCTGTTCACTCGTGCTAAGCTCCTCCATCTGGTTCCATCCCCCCCATGATGCCCTCAGAGGCATTAGCAGTAGATCCAATGTTAGTGCCATCAGCACTTTTCCTGGCATCAGATCCCTCTGGAACATCTTTACCCCAAGCTGAGAGCTTTGACCCTTGCACCAGCTCTGCAAGGCAGTGAGTTCACCTCATGTCAGCAAGAAGTCCAGAATTTGACCCAAAACAGGCCAAAAACCTCCTCAGATCCCCCCTCAGTTTACACCAGGAAAAGCTGGGTTGAAAAACCCAAGTTTGGTCCATGTCACACATTGTGGAAAAGCTACAAGTGACCAAACCAGCATCATTAACAGAATCCCAGACCTGTTTGGGTTGGAAGGGACCTTAAAGCCCATCCAGTCCCACCCCTGCATGGGCAGGGACACCTCCCACCAGCCCAGGCTGCTCCAAGCCCCATCCAACCTGCCCTTCAACACTGCCAGGGATGGGGCAGCCACAGCTTCCCTGGGCAACCTGGGCCAGGCTCTCACCCCCCTCACAGGGAAGAATTTCCTCCTCATGTCTCACCTCAATCTCCCTCTCCCACTTTTCATCCATCCCCCTCATCCCATCCCTCCCTGCCCTTGTCCCACGTCCCTCCCCAGTTTTCCTGGAGCCCCTTCAGGCACTGGAAGCTGCTCTAAGGTCTCCCTGGAGCCTTCTCTTCTCCAGGCTGAACCCCCCAACTCTCCCAGCCTGTCCCAGAGCTGCTCCAGCCCTCCCAGCATCTCCTTGGCCCTGTTCTTTGGGCAGCACAGCAAGGATGTGCCAACCCCAGGTATTTTGGGGGGGTTAAAACCCCTTCAGCTGCTTTTCTTACCTTGATATCCTCCGTCTCAGACTGGGTGCTGGTCTCATCATAGAGGTCAGACTCCTCGGAGGCGATGGGGACCTGCACTGTCAGGTTGGGGTTGTTAATGAAGTTCATGTGGTCCAGCTCATCCATGAGCAGCCGCTCTTTGCCGGCGATTCCGTCCAGATACTCAGCCTTGGGCTCCTGCCCAACGTCCAGGTGGTTGAGCACGGAGTTGTCCCTCTTGCTGTGCTCTTGCTCTTCCTCCGGGGCCACCTTCTTGCCCTTGCAGAGCCTCCTGAGCAGGGTGAGGAGGGAGGACTTCAGCAGGTGGATGCCCCTGGTGATCCTGCCGATGGCGATTTGCAGGTTGTTCATCTCCCCGTCGTCATCCGAGGCTGCCAGGCTGTCAGCACTGAAGGAGCTTAGCAGCAGGGCCAGGAACAGGTTCAGCACCTGGTGGGGACACCAGCAAATATCAGCTCTGACATCTGCCACCAAGGTTGTCCCCTCAGGCAGGGACTGGTCGTGGCTGTGGAGAATCATGGAATGGGTTGGAAGGACCTTCAAGATCATCCAGATCCAACCCCCCTGCATGGGCAGGGACACCTCCCACCAGCCCAGGTTGCTCCAAGCCCCATCCAACCTGCCACCAAGGAGGAGGGGGGGTCCCCACCAGGGTCTGCTCTGCTCCAGGGAGGGCAGCATTTTCATCCTGGCCATGGGGTGCAAATGTGATGGTCTGAATGGCTCCAAGCACAGGCCCTGTCCTGCTGCCCCCGGATCTCTCTTGAGGGAGGGGATTGTCCCCTCTGCTCTGCTGAGACCCCCCTGCAGGGCTGGGGCCACCTCTGGGGTCCCCAACACAAGAAGGACATGGAGCTGTTGGAGAGAGGCCAGAGGAGCCACAGAGATGATCCCAGGGCTGGAGCAGCTCTGGGACAGGCTGGGAGAGTTGGGGGGTTCAGCCTGGAGAAGAGAAGGCTCCAGGGAGACCTTAGAGCAGCTTCCAGTGCCTGAAGGGGCTCCAGGAAAGCTGGGGAGGGACTTGGGACAAGGGCAGGGAGGGATGGGATGAGGGGGATGGATGAAAACTGGAAGAGGGAGATTGAGGTGAGACATGAGGAGGAAATTCTTTGGTGTGAGGGTGGTGAGAGCCTGGCCCAGGTTGCCCGGGGAAGCTGTGGCTGCCCCATCCCTGGCAGGGTTGAAGGGCAGGTTGGATGGGGCTTGGAGCAGCCTGGGCTGGTGGGAGGTGTCCCTGCCCATGCAGGGGGTTGGATCTACATGATCTTTAAGGTCCCTTCCAACCCAACCCAGCCTGGGATTCCATGAGGATTCCTCCTTCTACTTCCCCATGCCCAGAACGTGGCTGCCCCCCAGCTCAGCTCCCCTGGCAGGGCTGGACACCCCACATGCCAGAAACCCGGAGCAGCCCAGGAGCAGGAACAGACCCTTCCCAGCAGCTCCAGGCCCAGCCACAGCTGTTGGTCCTCGTGCCTCTGGTGCCAGCAGCAGATCCGAGCTGGGAATTAACTGCTCCCCCAGGACTCTGCTGCTCCCCAGCCCACATGACTTAAACCACATCTTGAAATAAATCCCTGCTCTTCCCACGGCCCGATTGTCAAATTCAACACCAATTGCAGCCACTTGTGGCTGTTGGCTCTGGGGGGGAGGGTTTTTATTTGGCCAGGGCTCTGTTCCCTTGTCACCCGACTGACTTCCTCCCTTTTCCCTTAATAACCCCCAAGGAAATGCCCCAAGGGTCATGGACAAAGGACAACCCAACGTCACCTCCTGCTCCTGGATGCTTGGGATGGGATCCAGGAGCAGGAAATACCTGAGATGTGGCCAGGAGGGCCTGGCAAGGGAGGGTGAAGAAGGGCAGAGATGTTCCTCTGAGTTGGTTGTGCTCTGGGTTCCTTTGGATCAACCCCCCCCGTGGCCCCCCCAGAGAGCAGCAGGAGCTGCAAAGCTGGGCTGGGACCTCAGGGGGGGCTGCATCTTGGCCCCCACCAGCTGGAAATCCTGCTGCTCCCCCAAAGCTCCTCCAGGGAAAGCTCCTGGAGGGTGGGTGGGTTCTCCCTACTCCAAAAAAACCTGCCTCCAGGAGAGGAAAGGTTTCCAGAGCCCCTTTTGGGGGGGGTCCCAGCTGTGATGCCCAGGCCCCACTTCCCTGCAGCCCCTGCAGATGTTCTGGAGGTGTTCACAGCTGGGTTGTTTTCAGCCTGGTTCAATCAATCCAACTGGAGGGGTTCCCCTCCTCCAGCTGTGGTTGTT